TGGTCTCAGAGCGAGTTGAGATCGCCATAAGCGTGGGAAAAGCCAGATATCGTGCTGTGGTCCCTATGGTAGCAAATGGTCAAAACAAACGCCTAGGCTCTGCGATCTAACCCAGAAAACTCAAGTTTATAATTTTTGGGGACATTTTCTCGCAATGTGTTCACGTTTTCCACAATTCAACACAACCTCACCATGCTCTATACAATTTGGGGCGTAGTAGCGCGTAGTGAGATATTCTTTATGTGTAAAGGGGGCTTTATAACATGGCCTGGGAAAAGTTAAATTGATTTTGTATACTTTATACAAATATAAAATAATGAGCTCCTCTACATATAACACCTTCACAGAAAGTTGTAATAATTTCATAAAATTATTTTGTGTAGACTGCAATAGCGTCTAACTGGCTAATTGTCAATATTGTTTATACAATCTTAACAGATTTGATTGACTCACACATGACGTATTTACAAACAAACCCACGTAATCTATTGCACACACTATTCTGTAGTTGATATATATTTTCAGATGTCAAGGCTGCTAGACTCACAATAACACCATCCCAGAATCTACAGGCAGGTGCTACATCTTTAACATTACGGTGTTCACCTGTTTCTAACTCTGTTTATGATACACTATACAGTATACAGATAAACAAACGTACCCTGCTACAGAATTCACAAACAACAAACATGGCAGTAATAGATGGAAGAGGGACTACACCTGGAACAGGAATAACAACACCTAAATATACAGTGACTGGTAATTATGCTATAACCCAGCAACCAACCCAAGGCTTCCTACAAATTATTATAAATAATCCTGATTGTAATGATGCTGCTGAATATCAGTGTATAACAAATGGAGAACCTACTATAGCTACTAATCCAGGGACGTTACAAGAAGATAAAAATGTCACAGTTCAAAGTAAGTATTTTATGTATATAATGTATACCATAATCAGATGACATTTTACTGTTCAAAGTTAATATGTCATGTGTATAATGTTACATTATTGAAATTCGTAATATTATGTATAACATTATGTATTACACGGATATTAGAGTTATTACACGGAATTAAAATGTAACAGTAAATATGTCGTGTATATGGTTATTCTGCCTGCTGAGTAACGGAATTTGTAATATAAAATTAGTCTATTAAATCTTTAATAATACGTTAGTGATTTTATTTCCATGGGTACATCTAAAATTCGGGTTTGGTCGATACTTCACCTGATATCCAAAATTAACCGAGTTGACCTAGAACAAATTGCAAAAGAAGGTTGGTTTATTGGTACCGTTGTGTTCGTGGGACCATCATCTACAGTATAACCAAAGTTCTCTGATTTTCGTGGAGGGGAGCGGGTCTAATTCAAATTAATTCAAAATGGACACCAAATGTACCTTTGGAGTATAATAACTCCTTTAATATTGAGTTTTCACCATATTCACCATATAAAATTGTTGCAGATATTATGACCCCTGTGAGTCAGAATATCTTGTCAGAAATAATCACAAATCAGCCCCATGACGTCATCGGGTTTTATTTTGACGTTAAATCGTGGGCTGAGGATTAACTGGTTCTATGTCCAATTTTTGTCAAACTGAGAAAAATGGGTGTGAAGTTTTGCATCGCTGTATTTTGAAACTCATTGAATCTTTACCAAATTTTCACTGTTGTGGAAGCTGACAATATAAGCAGCTGGCAGGGTGTGTGGTGCTTTTTAGTGCAGTGGTATCCGATCTGGTCAAACCGAAATATGATAAATGGAGATAGGACTTTGTGACTTACAAAATTTTATGAATTTGTCAGGCACAAAGTTCAATATAGGAGATAGAACCTTGTGTCTCAAGACGGTCCGAATTACATAGTTCTATATCCAGACTCATTGTTTAAAAAAAAAACTACCCGTAAACTGGGGCAACTCTAGCCCAGGGATTACATTGTCACAGTTTAAGAATCCTTCTATTTGTGTAAAACATATTTAGCCTATGCCAAAGTAACCCCTTAGGTGACTAGGTCTAAAGTTACTCTGGTTTACAGGAAAACAAAATGGGTTTAATTCATGAAAATTACTATTGAAATCCATGCTACATTTTCGCCTGACGAAGATTAACCATGAGTGTCAATTTATTGAATAGCTACAAAAATATGATTTCGGAAAAAGTAACACATAACACTCTCAAGCATTAAACATAACAAAAAGCCTTTTCCGGCCCAAAATATAACGAAGAGAAAGCATTGTCCGCTGATTGGACATGTTACCTCACTCTTAGCTTACCGCCAAGGACATGTACATTTGATAAAGATCATAAATATATATATTACACTGTAAGCCTATGATGGTATAGGGAGCCACGGTGGCCAAGTGGGTGAGGCGTATGTACGTAAAAGATCCCTTGGGCCTTGATGTCAACTAGTTCCATCTCCATCATTATGCACTGAACTACTGTGTACGATCATTCAAAATAAAAATAGGGTTTCAACCAAACATTAGGCCTAAGCTGTCTTAAATTGCCTAACAATCTACCTTTCTAACATATTAAGAATTTAATTCTGGGACAATATTCTGAGGGCCTTACGGCGAGTTTTCTGCTCTAGAAATACAGCCATGCTGGTGTCTCTTTCGGCCATTTTGTCAAAAGACCACATGACACCATACCCAGGAATTATATTGGTGAAAGTGGACATAGAACTTTGTGAGAGGGAATGGATTGAAATTTAAACAAAGACCTATGTGTTTTTTGGCAATTTAACCTGGAGGGCGCTTCTGAATTAAATCATGCTCACAGTCTACCCAGCTGTAAATGGGTACCGGTAGGATGGTGTATGTATTATACAAAAAACTGTTGCGCTCCTTGAAGCAGCATATGTTGGGCTCTTTCTAAGAGTTCAGGGGTAAAGGGAGGTAATCAGGCTTTACCTGTATCCTAGAGACCGGGATAATAATTGTGTAGCGCTTTGAGCATAAACTTGGTTTATGGATATAGCGCATTATAAATATACTCATTATTATTATTATATATTATAGTACATAGCACTTGTTGATTCAAAGATAGTTTTTATGCAAGTATCTCATTTTTAGTGAAAAGTGGACATAGAACCAGTTAATCCTCAGCCCACGAAATGATGATTGATGATGTCAGCACACAATTTTCAAAACACTAACGGAATTCCTAGGAAGAAGTTAAATGATTTAGATTGAAATGTAAATAATCACATGCGCTTACATTAGATACAATACATTGTGGTTTATATTAGATTGGTTGACAAGATTTAGAATCCCAGCAATATTGTCTAAGTTTGTATGAGTAATACAATAATTATAGAGGCACACACACAATCATTTTATTGTTTAAGCTTAGAATTCATAAGTGTGTTACCTTGGGCGACGATATTTGTAATTTTCCTTCTACAATCATAAACTTACGGCATCCACACCATACATTAATGACATCATATAAAACACAATACGTATTAATCTTGATATGAATGTACTAAAATCCCATTTAATATTTTATAGGTAATCCCGGTACGGTAGAAATGGTCAGATTTCCAGAAAAGATGAATTATAGTGTTGGTGAAAAGATTGAGATTACTTGTCAAGGAGATGTTGGATATCCTGAAAAGCTTTGGTCCTGGGAATCCAAATCGACTGATGATTAATTTTTTAACCCAATAACAGAAAATATAACAAAAGGCACAGTTGATCCACCAACATTAATTCCTGGATGTGGATATTATTCTAGAAGTATATTGAGTTATTACGTTGGTCAAGATGATAATGATCTGGAAATCAGATGCAAGGTTGATAACTCAGTACTGTACAGTGTCAATAAAACTATCTACTTAACAAGTAAATAAATAATTACAGTACAATTAATTATTTTTAATTTCTGTCGTTATCTGATTAGACCTTGTATTTAGGATCGATTAAGCCTGATTGGTGTTTTTATGGATTCTCAGATAAACCAGAAGTGTTACTAAAAGACAATAACAGACAGCTTTATGGATAACATTCACTAGGTTTATTAACTGCAACGTTTCAGCGAGGATTCTTTCACCGTTATCAAGCAATGATATAATCAAACATGTTACAGAAGGTTATGTACAAGTGGATAACAATAAACTAATTAACAGTTTGTATCAGAAGCCATTATGTGACATGTTTGATTGTATCATTGCTTAATAACGTCGAAATTATCCTCATTGAACCATTGCAGTTCATAAACCTTGTGAATGTTATCCATCAAGCTGTCTGTTTATTACATATCGCTTTCACTAAATGCCTTTCAAATTCTACCTGCCTCGATAACTAAACATTCTAACACTTACACTGAGACAAATGGAAGTGCAATTGAAGAAGTGATTACAAGTAACGTTAGCGACTGGCCATCTTTTCCCTCATCAACAACTGTCATTAGAAAACATCTGATTACCAGCTGCGCTATCATCCGTTAGACGTACGCTCTTTTCTAAAGCAATTGTCATTAGAAAAGAATCCCTATTTTCTATTATTTGCCATTTTGAAATATGTGCGGTTTCAGTATGTCTGCCTTACATATTATGCCCGAACTCTTTAATAAGTATTATATACTATACAGAAACGGTAATGCTATAGTATACACGGACGATTTGGCTGCTGTGGGTATGTTACAACAGTTCTTTATGACCATGATTGATATTGCAAAAGTAGAATGTCGATTGAACCGGTTTTTTTTGCAATAAATCATATTATTTCAAACATGTACAAGACGCATAACTACAAAGAAATACAGAAACTGCAATTAATTACACAATATTTTCTTTTAAAAATCTAGAGCTAAGCAGAAAATTGATGTAGAATTTTATGTTATTTTAGATGTTGATCCTGGTAATGGCGAAAATCAAGGCATGACTACTGACGCAGGATCAACTACTGACGCAGGGAGGAGGTTTCATTATAAATATATTTTTTTCCAAAACAAAACCGTGAATTCTTCGTGTGTTAGGTGTGGGAGAGGGGGGGGGGGGCAGGATTGGCAGTTTCTTGCAATAAAAACATATTATTTTAAACATATACAAGATATATAATTACATAGCAGTACAGAAACGGTAGTTAATATACAATGTATTTCTTTAAAAATCTAGAGCCAAGCAAAGAATTGGTGTAGAATTTTCTTTTATTTTAGATGTTGATACTGGTAATAGCGAAACCCAAGGCCCGACTACTGACGCGAGTAAACTGTTTCATTTTAAATATAAATATATTTTCTGTTCTTTAAATCCAAATCACATGAATTTGTGGTGGGGGAATTACCAGAATCATTATTTTGGTATTCATCGTTCACGTTATCGTCAGGAACACCGTTTCTATGGCAACTTTTTTGAAAGTTACAGTGGTTTTTCACTATTTAAATTTTATTGTAAAAATGATAGCTATTGCAAATAACATAACATCGAGTGGACCATTTTTGAAATTAGAAAAACATTTTTGCAATGATTTCTTCTTTTGTAATTTTCATAATTGTCAGAATGATTATTTGGGTTTTCATCATGCACATTATGATCAGCAACCAACATCATTTGCATACTCATTTTTATCACAGTTACAACAGTTTGTCACGTGAATTCTTCTGTTTGTGGTTGGGAGTGGGGTGGGCAGAATTGGTAGAATCATTATTTATGTATTGGTCATTCACTTTATCATCAGCAACATCAGTTTCATAACCATGCTTTCCGAAACATTTTATCAGTCAATATATAATTGTAGTTCACGGTCTTTCTCCGAAATCGAGCTATACACCACAAGCTGTATACAGCTGCTAATAATTGTAGGTGAAGACAATATAGGAGACTCTGGTGGTTCTATTGTAAGTGGTACTATTGGTTTTATATGTGGTATAATAGTCATGGTAGTTGTTGGTGATGTATATTAGTGCTGCAAGAAAAGGTAACCAGTGTTAGCCATATTAAATTGTTTTCGTAAACAGCTCAGATCGGTTGGATATGGAACTAAGGCAGCTATCAGACTACATGTACTGTAACGTGACTGGAGCGACTCTAACATGGGATTGTCTTCAGTATGACTGTAAGCTTCCACTGGTAAGGGTTAGAGGTAATCTCCAAGGCCAGTCTTACTAAAGAGTGGACAGGTTTGCCGTGCCCAGCTTTGACAAGCATCCTCTTCTCCCAAGGCCAATCTTTATGGACGACAACGCTAGACCACACGTCTTTGGCTAGCCCCCGTCTTCATTATTAGCCCAGTCGGGACTCAACAATAGGACGTTAAACCACATTTCATTTCATTTCACCTTGGCCAGTCAGAAGCCCTGACCTGAATCTTATTGAATATATCTGTAGCGTTATTTTTGGGCGTATATTCCGTCAGAAGTATTCACCAGAACAGATTAACGCAGTCTCTGATCTGACGTCTCATGTAGTCAATGAGTCGGTGATCCAGGGTGGCGGATGCTACACGGGATATTGACCCTTTTCGCTGCTTTGACGGCTCTATGGACAACATGAAAATGAAATGGAAATGTTCCCATTGTTCCATATTGTTATATTACTTACATCAAGGACAATTGTGTATTTCAGACGTCAGCCGAGTAAGCCTGATTATGTTTATGGTAATACATCTTTAACATCTACGGCACCACAACCTACTTTTACAACATGTGACAGTCTTTAAATCACCTAGTATTCTTGGTTTTGTATAATACGTATTAAACAATCATATTATAACTTCTTTGGATAATTCTTTTTATGATTCGGTTATAAGCCTGCTATATGTCCCACAGACATGTTTGGGTTTTAGTCTGAGCTAGCTAACCGCGGGGATAGCGAAGAATTATATATTATTATGTTATATTTTATGTAATGCCTTTTTAAAATGTATACAGTAAAAACTATATAACCATGTTTATTTTGAGATTATTGTTTTACAACGTGACAAAGATTGCTGGTTCTAAAGATCTACATCTGGAACATAACCTGAAAGTCCCATGTGTCGATTTACTATTCTATGGTATAAATTGACTTCCAAACCATACGCAATCTAAATAATTTAAGTTCCCGGGTTCTGTTTTGAATCGAAACTTGTTATATAGTGGAGATTTAAATTAATTCCTGAACATTACCTAAGTCCAGCATTTACATGATGATTCAACGTAGTTTGCATTACAGGGAGAGTAAGACATCGAAATGCTTAGAGCGTAGAAAAATATAAAAATAACCAATTACTGACATGAAGAGGGGCATATGTTCAGCGTGTGACCTTCATTAATAAAATTGATGTAATAGTTATTAGACATCATGGAATTCAATGCGTTATCGTTGGGTCTGTCCATTATATCAACAAGGAAATAGCCTGATATTTTAGTACATGGGACGTACTGTAAATTTTCAGATGTAGAAGGGATGAACCTGTGGAACACAATAATAAAACGAATAATATAGAAGGCTATGGCATGATGCCCCAGTGTCAGAATACATCCGCGGCATGGGATTATGAAATAAATCAAGTTCAAGTGGCATGTCCTGTCGTATCCAGTGCAGCATTTACCTACCGGCTTGGCATCCTGACCATAACCAAAGAAGATGTGGTTTTATTCATGCCCATAACCAAACGGTTGATCGTTAAAATAAATAAATATTACGATTTGTCTGAATCGGACGAAAAATTAAGACCCCTGGAATGTCTGCAACCTTTGTACATATATCATAATTATACGTAAAAGGTAGGAGGTCGATTTGGTCCTGTGAACCAAATTGAAATACGTTGCACAAATATATATATATATATATGTGAAGTTTCATCAAAATCGGATGCAAATTGCTACCTCTAGATTGTTCACAATGTGAATGGACGTTAAGGCGTTCAGTCGCCACAACGTCCAATGGTGACATCATTATATGTCCGCTTAATCGGTCCCAAGGGTAATACTCTGTGACAGAAAAGCCGAAAATGGCAGCTAACATGGAAAATGAAATCCATTTGAAAATTGGCTAACGATATTTTCTTTATATATACACTAAACGGACATTTATGCAAATTTTAGTACTTGTATCCTGATTTGAAAGATCTTTACACTTAGCTGCATCATTATAACATTGGTATGGAATAGCGAGAGGTTATACCCTTAAGTCCCACTGGGCATTGTCTTTCTCCGGATATACTGCCGATGGAAATTAATGAGCCTCGGGTTGTTTGGTAGCGTCGCGGGCCATGTGGACCATCTTGAGGCCATGGGAGAATGCGAAACAATTTACCCGATGTTTTCCCGACTTTTTGTCGGGGAAACTGGCCGAAGAGGACCCCCCCCCCTCCCCCATGTGTCGCGAAAGTATCAGGGGATCTTCGATGATATTTGAATTCTCGGCGAAAGTTGAGCAACCATTCGATGACCTTTCGGTGACAAATCACTGATCTCAGGGTTACATCCCCGAATATTCGGCGACAGTTTATCCAGAAAGCAACGTTAATTCAGACTGTTATACTATATCATTGTGAGCTACACTCCAAGTATAAAATATCATGCCGCTTTAGGATGATGTTATTTAAAGGGCAATTCACACACCACCACCGACAAATGGCCATTAGCGTGCCTTACATTATCAAGTCCAACGGATTGTCCCCAAATTTCGACGATCATCGGCAACAAACTACCGGGTTTGATGAATATATCTCCAAAAAATTTAATTGTTTGATTAAGTGAGCTATGTTGGCTAAGTGAGTAAGACGGTGGCTCGCTAGCCTAGAGGTCGCGGGTTCGCTCCCAGTGTTGGCCGAGAAAGTTCATCGGGATTTTCCCGCGTGGTTTCCCCTTGTCAGTGGTGCAGGGCGGAGGGCCTAACAAGGACAGCTGTCTGCGTTTGGATGGGACAAACGCCGAGGTCTTGTGTACACCGTGTACACGTAAAAGACCTTTCCCTTGGCAGTTGGAATTCTATATAAGAGTAGGCCGTAGAGCCGCTGTCCGGTCCCAGTTTCCCTCATAGCACACTGTATGACGTATGTCTGTCTGAATTAGCTCAGTCGGAGCAGAACATGTTTGATTAAGCTCTAACAACATCTTTAAGACGTTTGTGTTCAGATGACCTTCCTTAATCTTTCACTTTGCAAAAAAGTAGATACTTTGACTTGGAAACGAATGGTTTAGCTTGACAAGTCACATTGGCTACAATTGAAATAAGAAAAGAAACAATATCTGAAAATAAAATAATAAAATGTGTATATGCATTGTAGTGTTGGTCACCCAAAGTTAAAACCGGGGACTTTAATCACTAAATTATATATAGAAGATTTAGATAAAGAGCCAGTCATTCTTGCTGCAATATGTCAAAAATAGATAACGCAAAATAACTCTATTCTGAGCGAAGATATTAGCCTTTGAAGGTTTGACAATATGTGAGCATTGGTTGAAACCAACATACTGGTTGTTCGAAGCTAAGCCTCGTTTTAAATTGAACCAAAATATGGCCGAACGATTCTAATCTATTTAATGTCGGAGATATCCGATGGCATTGAGAGTTGATTACGGTCTTGTCATGTTGATAAATGTCTCATTAACAGATTATGCAACATTTAAAGGCTCAATACCATTCTTGTTGTAACTGAATAATATGTCCCAATCTCTATTCTGGTCAACAAATTGCACTATTTTACAATATTCCAATTAATTGATGATACAAATTTCATCTTAACACGCCTAATTTAAAAAATTGGAAAAATTCAACTAAATGATTTGAAAAGCCTGACGTAAAGCTTTTCAAATGTGACTTGGATTTAAAAATATTTTTGAACCCTCTGGACAAGTAAAATAGGATTTAATGGATAATTTACACAACAGGTAGGACACTAACACATCTAGTACTTAGAATAAGGCTATTTTTTTATTTTCTGGAGTTGTCCCTTTAAGGCCTGAAGAAAGACCTGCAATAGGCAGATTTAGGTCTTGCATAATGTATGTTTAAAGTAAACAAAGATAAGAGTACTGATAGTTCATTTGATGAGAAATAAAATCATGGCGCAATTTTTAACTGCATTTTTTAAAAATATTTTGGATTATGTTTTTTTTTTTTTTTAAATTGTTTCCAGAATGAAATAAATACCTAATTGAAAAATTGGATTAGGACATTGGAACAATGTTGACGCGATTGTAACCCGTGGCATATGGGCTATTCAACACCTAAATAGCAAGTATAATGAATAAATTAGGCATATTTAGACCAATATCTTCTATTTAATATCGCATACTATATCTCCATGTGCACTATCTCCTACTGGTATATAACCCAGAACATTAAGGGTTGAATCAGCCTTTAATTTTCAGACAGCAAAATATATAGGTGATTGACAAAAAACTGATTTTATATCCGGTTTGACTTCTGTGTTAAGTTATTCCCGACTCGCCACATAATGTGACCGTCATATTATTTAAAGTCTATGCTAGGCTTGCCCTTTGTTCAATATTGCACTCAGTTTACATCGGGACATCTGAATGTTTGTTCATCACAATGCTCGTAATCGGGTTGGGTTTGGGGCGTGTGTACATAAAGTTTCAATGGCGTCACCGTATACACCACGATTGCGCAATTTATAGACTTTATTACATTAGAGAAATTTGATCGGTTATGAGAATATTGCACTTCAAAATCTGTGTTTCTTATAACGTTATTTCTTGTATAAAGACGCGACCGACGATCGAATGGTGCCAGCGCTGCTACCTTGCTACCAGATTTACCTACAGAAACTTGATAGCGGATTTATAGGTGTAGTCAGTTGTAACATATAGGTTAAAGGACAACAGGTGTAACAGTATCACCATAGACCCAGTTAGGGGTATATTATAATATAAACATATATATAGCGTACATACAGGAAGTAAATTGTACAATATAGGCTATAAGACAACAGGTTTAACAGTTGATATAATACATCATGGACGGGAATAGTGTTTTATTATTTGTATTGATTTATACTACTGTGATTCAAGGTAAGATCGCATCCATAGGGTTAGCGTTTCATTAGTTCAGGACTGTTTAAACCCTCTTCACACACTCACTACGACCGACATACGACAATAAAATGAACCCATCCGTGGCCAAGGGCGTCATGGCTGAGGTTGTGGTGAGGTAGGAACGTTGTTGAGAGCATGATAGGCCACGACCTCACTATGCGGGTATGGAACATCCGTGTAGTGAAGTTGTGGTGGAAAAGAAAGTGTAGTGAGAGTAGGGATTGTACAGTGCCAGTGGGGAAAACGCCCAGCGTCACGCTCACGCTACGCACACCACGTCCTGGTCACGTTCTTTCAGGGACCAATCAGACCGCGCTCCTAATTTTTCAAAAAGTCACTTCACACATAACAAAGTTCTCGCTGCACGTTCGCTACGTACAAAATTCTATAGCATGTGGCGTAGTGGGGTCGTGGCAAGAGGCACAGGTGGTCAGTGTCTTGCCAATCGGGCAGCGCTCAGTGGCACGGGCTGTAAGCTGTGTTCACGCTCTCCCCGGCTGACAGTCAGACCTATTCTACCTACCGTATATGATGGCAAAGCGAGTCAAACTGTGCACGCTCGCCACATTTACTTTCAATACCCGAACCTTTCTTCTTTAGACGAATTTCACATTGGACGCTTTCCTGCTAAGACTTTGTGTCTTACCCAAAAGTTCAATCTGGTTAAAACACAGATCATATTTCGTTCGTTTTTATAGTTCAAAATTTCGTTTTACTTGTCTTTACTACACTTAGATCTGGAAGACTTGTTATTTAACTCGTGTTCTGCTTGAAATGAGGGGTCAGCCAATCAAATGGTCTGTCGAATCGAGTGTTTGACCTTTTTTGCCCGGAACTGTGGGTAATCCACTAGTAACATCAATGCTGATTGGTTAATCAAATGCCTGACGTCATAGGTCAGGTCTTCATGTAGTGTAGGCCATCGAAAGTATAAAAAAACGAAACGAAATATAGATCTGTATTTTAATCAGATTGCCAAAAGTTGGACCAAGCCTATTTCTGTGGCTTCTTCTGTCAACTGTTCTAAACCCGCGTAGTGAGGTCGTGACCTATCCCGCTTGTCCCGACTATGACCCCACCACGCTCACATATATCTCGCCACGCCCAGGCCGCTCGCAGACACGATCTGAAGGGTGTTTTAGGTCGTAGCGAAGTCGTGGTCTATGTGCAAAACTTAGCTGTCTTGATAGATGAAAACTGGTATCTCTCCTATTCTAATATCTACATTTCCGCCAAACGAGGATAGGTGGTTGTGACGTTAGCAATCAAGTGGTATGAGCGTCGTTCCAGTGCGGTGCGATCTTTACAGTGTTGTGCCAACGTGCTTTAGCGCGGAGGGAACGTTGGGCTTTGTGTACGCGTAATGAGAATGTGGAAAAGGTTAAACATTTCTGCGATTTTGCGTGTACTGAGATCGTAGTTGCCTATACACTTGAGTTCTTTTTCCATATTTCACCGCAACCTCACCACGCTCTATATAATTTTGAGCGTAGTAAGCGGACAGCGAGAGGTTCTTTCTGTGTAAAGGGGCTTTATAACATGGTCTTGGAAAAGTTAAAATAATTTTGTATACTTCTATAATAAGCTCCTCTACATATAACATTTTCACAGAAAGTTGTAATAATTTCACAAAATTATTTTGCGAAGACTGCAATAACGTCTAACTGGCTAATTGTCAATATTGTTTATACAATCTTATCAGATTTGATTGACTCACGCATGACGTATTTACAAACAAACCTATGTAATCTATTGCACACATTATTCTGTAGTTGATATATATTTTCAGATGTCAAGGCTGCTAGACTCACAATATCACCATCCCAGAATCTACAGGCAGGTGCTACATCTTTAACATTACGGTGTTCACCTGTTTCTAATGCTGTTTATACTAGACTATACAGTATATTGATAAACAAACGTACCCTGGTACAGAATTCACAAACAACAAATATGGCAGCAATAGATGGGACAGGGACTACACCTGGAACAGGAATAACACCACCTAAATATACAGTGACTGGTAATTATGATATAACCCAGCAACCAACCCAATGCTACCTACAAATTATTATAAATAATCCTGATTGTAATGATGCTGCTGAATATCAATGTATAACAACTGGAGCTCCTACTATATCTACTAATCCAGGGACGTTACAAGACGATAAAAATGTCACAGTTCAAAGTAAGTGTTTTATGTATATAATGTATACCATGATTAGGTGACATTTTACAAAATGAAATGAAATGAAATGAAATGGGGTTTAACGTCCTACTGTTCTGCTCCGATACGCCATACAGTGTGCTATGAGGGACATTTTGCCCGGACAGCGGCACTACGGCTTACTCTTATATCGAATCCCAACTGTCAAGGGATCTTTTACGTGCACACCAATGTGTACACGGGACCTCGGTTTTTCGTCCCATCCGAACGACTAGGCAGCTGTCCTTGTCAAGCCCTCCGTGACATTTTACAGTTCAAAGTAAATATGTCATGTGTATAATGTTACATTGTTGAAATTCTTAATATTATGTATCCTAACATTCCTACGTATTACACGAAGATTAAAGTTATCACAAGAAATTAAAAAGTAAAGATGTTGTGTATATTATAGTTATTCTACCTGCTGAGTAACGGAATTTGTAATATAAATTATCCTATGTCGTTTAATATTTGTTTAACATAATACGTTAGTGATTTTATTTCCGTGAGTACATCTGACATTCGGGTTTATCCGAACGTATGGTTTTGATCCATGTATTTCACCTGATATCAAACATTAGTCTAGTCAAAGTAAGAGTTGAGCTAGAACAAATTGCAAAAGAAGGTTTCTTACCGTTGTGTTCGTAGAACCACCCTCTAAGTTCTCTGATTTTCGGCATACTATAAATTAATTAACTTGCTGATAATCCGGACCGTTTCAATGAGTAATATTAACCAATTGTCTCAAATTAATCATTAGTTGATTGAAATTTGCCAATGATATTTACAAAGTCTATCTCAAGTTATTATTTACTCCAAATAATTAATCCAAGTGATAATTATTTAATGTATGGTTTGCTATGGAAGCCTATAACTACCATTCATAATTTCTACTTTTCGCCCCTTCAAAACACGAAAGTCGAAAAGTCGAAAAGTAGAAGTTACGACAAAATGTGAGGCGACAACACGCTATACAAGCCAACATCAACTCGAAAATAGGAAATTAAGAAATAACACACAGCGATAATAGCGCCCCTCGTTTTTTCCCAATTTCTTATTTTCTACTTGCATTTTGACTTGTATACCGTCTTGTCGACTTTCGACTTAGTCATATTTTTGTATTTATTGAGGTCAGTAAGAAGGCGCCAACACGCATACCAAGCCAAAATGCAACTCGAAAAGTAGAAATTAGGAAATTAACACACCACGCTATTAGCGACTTTTCGACTTTTCGCCTCGGAATTTGTTTTAGTCTCAGTTTTCCAGGTCGCATTTGAATACGTGCAATCAGGGCTCACACTGTATTTCATTCTTTTCCGTCAATATGAATAATAATTTTTTACATTAAAAAAAAATGTTCATAATTTTTTTCCGCCAACTGGGATATTTTATCTGCCAAAAATGTGCCAAAAATGTCTGATAAAAAACACACACCTTAGGCCACAACAATTTAATTTATTATATAGGCCTATTTCCGCCGGAAAATCTGGATCGACCAATGCAGGGATCGAACACCCGACCTCCAGGCTGGCTTAACATATCCACTCGTTGCAAACTAAATCATTTCAATAATTCGTTTGCACTTAGGGGTCTTTAGCAGTGGATAGAAACTGGGGTATCCGGAGGTTAGACAAGCAATGCTACTCCCTTGTCATGTTTAAGCGGGGAATCGAAACCACACCACTTGAATCAATGTCAGACCTTGTGATTTCACGCGCACGTGTTAAACCACTGGACCACCCAATCCACATGTATGTTGTTATATTATTGTATATATCGGCACGGGAAATTTGTTTTATAATAGGCCTATATATTAAATTAAATTGTTGTAGCCTAAGGTGTGTGGTTTTTTTATCCGACATTTTTGGCAGATAAAATATCCCAGTTGGCGGAAAAAAAATATGAACATTTTTTTTATATAAAAATTATTATCCATTTTGACGGAAAAGAATGAAATACAGTGTGAGATCTGATTGCACGTATTCAAATCATGGATTCCACCGTGACGGAATTACACGACACCCCTTATAGTGCAGTCTTAAACATTCAGTGGCTGTTAAATATAGTAATAATATATTCCACTGGGGATTTTATAAGATGGGGGATATATGAGGAATAATTAAATATCCTCTTGGACTCTTTATATCAGATGCATTTTATGAACTAAGATCTATAACATTATGTGACGGAATTACCTACTTTGACATTACCCAAATGTGTTTACTATTAAATCTGCGAATCGAAAGATTTCATGGTGTGCATTTTAGAATATTTCAAAAATATCTAGCTCTGAAAGTAGGACAAAACCATTTTTATAAACAAATCATCCCGCAAAAGTGTGAATGGTTGCCTAAAACATGCGTGACGGAATTACGTTTCACATTGTAGACTGAATTACAGTGCAGAAATTCCGTCACGCTGAATATAACTGATCAGCAGGGAGATAATATCAACACAAATTAACAGTTTTTAACCGACGTTTACTTTCAATAAATATATTTTAACAATTGCGCTTCTTTTTTTATAATCCCAAATGAAAAGTCATGATTAAAGTTAATTTAAAATCAAAATAGTTCTATAGCGATATCGGAAGTTTTATTCATAAGCAACAACTGCAAGTAAATTGGTCACCATCGCCAAGTATTCCATATGTTTCGCCACAGGATTCATGAAACCACAATTTACAGGCTTGACACATGATCCAGTCCTCTGCTAATTTTGGGTCTCCCTTATCACCATAACCCCATCCACATTTATTACAATTCCAAACGCGACTGTCTCTCTCTGTCTCCTTTGAGTGGTACCTATTTTCCTTGTCTGTAACACAGTGTGCTACACCGATGTATTTAGCATTTACTTTTCTCGATTCTGGATCACTGGTGTAAAACTTCAATTCAACTGATCCATTTTCAAGTGGTCTCACATAGTGTGTCGAAATCGTCCCCGGAAATGTTTGAAGTCCGGTCCACAGGCTATCAACTTCAAGTACATGACATCTTTGAAGAATATCAGCACCAGTCACTGTAAGGATATTTATTTGACTCTTGGACGATTTAACTGCTTCGTTAAAAGTTTGTGCACCGTACACCACCGCTGCTCTGGCCATTATCAGTCTGTGGACGATACGCTTAACATTTCCACCTATTCCGTCATTTGGGCCTTTACTGTGACTTGTTGCAAAGTAGTTCCAGTTCAGCTGTACAGCATGGTGTTCCTGAAGTTTGGCAAGTAACGTAAATATATATTTGTTTTTGTACTGACTGGAAGGACCATCTGTCCATATGCAAATCTTTTTAACGGTCGGGAAGTTATCAGTAATGATATCGAACATGATAGAAGTGAAAGCAGCAACGGCGTTCTTGTCATGACTTAAGTTATCGCTGGCAATGACGTAAGACAGCTTCTCGTTTCAGTAAGTGATCATCACTGTGTAAACTGTAACCTGACGTTACTTCCAATGGGCGGACTGGATCTCGTCTTGCCATATACATGTGAAGTTTTCTGCGAAATCCATTTGGAGCAGACACTCCTCTGAGGTTTCTCCATTTGATATGGACTTGGTGTGTTTATGGGATCCTACTTGTTTATCCTTGATGTACGAGTGCCAGAAGAACTTGGGGAGCTGCAGAGCTAATTCGTAGAACGCGTCGTACGAAGAGTTTTCTTTCTTGACCTTTTGAACAAATCCATCAGTATCTTCCCACTGGTACCAAGAAAACATTTTGTCGACCGGAACAGCATTTTTAAATTTTTTTTCAAATAACTTGCCGTCGCAACAATCACTACAGTTGTTAGACATACATTTCTCATTGTTGACATCACAAACACAACGGGCTGTAAAATCTGTCTTGGAATACAAAAAGGGACAACAGTTGGGTATCTTCGATGAAGTGATTCTAATAGAAGCACGATGTTGTTGTGATATTTACAACCGCAAACATTTTGAGGCATCTGGGATGATAAGAGCACCCATCTAGGTCGAAGTGACGAAAACTTTGATTTACCAATCAAACTTGTAGCTGTAGGATTATCTTCCAAGAAGCACTCGTAGGTCTCAGTTAGCGTAGTAACTAAATGACGTTTCTGTTTGTGATATTTGTTGCCAAGTTGGTCTTTCAGTGATATATAATCTGCTTTACCCGGCATCATCCTCGAGACAGAGTCGTTCTCATAAAAGTCAACCACTTTCTGCTCCAGTTCGGATGGCACACTGTCCTTTGTTCTTGGTAGGCGAGTTTGAAGATCTAGAATTTCGCATGCCATTATCTTAACTAAAGATACTCTTTTCCTTGGACTTTTGGGTAGGGCCTTCATAACTCTTGAATTGGCTTTGCCTAGTGAAGCCATTGTTTTGTAACAGGTCCCAGTCACGGTACTATTTCCATCCACAATCTCTTCATTGGCATTGCCCATTCGGTGATTTTGTACAGCCAATCTATTTCTTTTCCTTAAATCACTTAGCTGTTTTGGTCCCATGGCGGATCCGGCATTTTTCTTCCCTTCCATATCGTAATCCACTTGATGTACAGATGACTTCAATTTCTCTCTCCGTTTCTGTTGTCTCTCTGCAGCAGTTTTGGCCATACCTGAAAGCAAATATGAATATATAAGCTTATACAATGATATATATACATAATAATACAATGAAATTTGAATTACATCTAAATAAGTTTATGAAATATTTACTAAAACCTTAGCTTGAATTTCGAAAAAATATGTAATTCCGTCACAAAGGAATGGGTAATTCCGTCACGTTGGGAAAATGTAATTCCGTCACACATAAATTTGGGAGCTTAGTTTCTTTAGCAGAAGCGTGACGTCATAGCGCGTGTAGGTCGCCGGTGACGCGCCAAAATTAAAACCCAGATAAAAATGGTCGCTTAGAATGATAAATTGTACATTACAATCAAAATCATATGAAATTACCCAGTTCAAAAAAATCATACCCATGTCCCAGTTATTGTGGAATTCATGAAATGCGACCAGGAAAACTGAGACTACAACAACTTCCGAGGCGAAAAGTCGCTAATAGCGTGGTGTGTTAATTTCCTAATTTCTACTTTTCGAGTTGCATTTTGGCTTGGTATGCGTGTTGACACCTTACTGACATCAATAAATACAAAAATATGACTAAGTCGAAAGTCGACACGAAGGTATACAAGCCAAAATGCAAGTCGAAAATAAGAAATAAGGAAAAAACGAGGGGCGCTATTATCGCTATGTGTTATTTCTTAATTTCCTATTTTCGAGTTGCATTTTGGCTTGTATAGCGCGTTGGCGCCTTCTTAATGACATCAATAAATACAAAAATATGACTAAGTCGAAAGTCGACAAGACGGTATACAAGTCAAAATGCAAGTCGAAAATAAGAAATTAGGAAAAAACGAGGGGCGCTATTATCGCTGTGTGTTATTTCTTAATTTTGTATTTTCGAGTTGATTTTGGCTTGTATAGCGTGTTGTCGCCTCACATTTTGCCGTAACTTCTACTTTTCAACTTTTCTACTTTCGTGTTTTGAAGGGGCGAAAAGTAGAAATTATGAATGGTAGTTACAGGCTTCCATAGTTTCCCCTGAAATAAAAAATAATAAATGGAAATAATCAAAATGGCCAAAATTTCAAATTATATTATCCCCATTTGTCGGAAACGTAAGAACAAGTCGAATAGCGGCGATTCTCATATGGGAAAAAGTTCTGCCATTTGCGTCATGTTACCGCTGCCAGAATGGTCTAAATAGTGAACGACGAGTGTAATGTTAAGCATATCTTTCAAACAAAATTGAGATTTATATATTACTAGCAGAATACCCGGCTTCGCTCGGGGGTCATAACTCCGAAACCGGAAGTGGTAGACTAAAGCCACCTGGCCTATGTTACTCCCCGGCCCGAGCTACCCCTATACCCCAAATTTCAGACTCGGGGCAGACCTAGTGTAGCCGCCATCCCCGAACAGACCGGCTTCGCTCGGGGGTCATAACTCCGAAACCGGAAGTGGTAGACTAACGCCACCTGGCCTATGTTACTCCCCGGTCCGAGCTACCCCTATACCCCAAATTTCAGACTCGGGGCAGACCTATAGTGTAGCCGCCAACCCCGAACAGACAGACAGACAGACAGACAAACGACAGTCACAAATATATATATAGATGTATTATATCATTCTGCACGGTACATGAAAAATGACAATATACCCAAATAGTGAACCACGAGTATAATTGTAAGCATATGTTACAAATAAAATTCAAATTCATATCATTGTATACGGTACATGAAAATGACATTAGGCCTACTTTATCATTTTATACGGTACTTGAAAATTTCATTAGGCCTATTGTACACGCAAAACATAAATTTATAGAACATTGGCAATCCTCCGATGCGGTTTGACGTATAAATACTGAAAATATATTGTGCAGTGTGCAAATACACTAAAGTCACCAAAAATAAAATCTGGACTAATGTATTATGTAAAGACGGATTTTTTAAAACTTGTATATTATATATACCGGCAATTGTTTTATAATAGCCCTACCTGAGAAATAGAATTGTTGCATGTTGTCTTTTTATCACACATATTTGGAAGATAAAATTTCAGTTCGCTGGAAAAATATAAATAGTATCATATATTTTTGTCTAAAAAATTAAAAGTCAGTGTGAGCCATATTCCTGAAGCAATGGCACGAAAACAAAACCTCTTTGGCCATTGCTCGATTGGCTCTGATACTTGAGCTTTTGAGGGAGTGTGTTTATTCTTCCCGTTCCATCAAATCTATCCCAAGTACAGCAACATGACAGCCCTTCGTTTAATCTGGGGTATTCCCTAAAACTTTGGACAGTGATTTAAGGTATTTAAAACGGTGAAAGTATTGTTCGTCTCCAAACAATATTATTTACATTGTATCCGTTTGTCAAGCAATTAGTTTTTCTGCAATATTCTGCTATGCACTGGTTAATTGGGCATAATTAATTCGTAAGTCATGACGTAACCTTTTTTAAACATATTTGGTCCAGTTTGGAGCTCTGTTTAAAGCGTAATGATATTGTTACGCAGTCAGCTATTTGTTTTTAATCGGACCATTGAACAGTCATAATTTGGAACAGAAATTTACCTGCTTTACAGCAGTGTAAAGTCGGATTAGCTCTAATTAAACAAAACACTGCGAGGAGTATAGAGTGAGCCCTGTATAATATATTGTGGTTTATATTAAATGGGTTGACTAAGATTTAAAATCCCATCAAGATCATCTAAGTTTGTACAATATAGAGGCGCACACAATGATTTTATTGTTAAAGCTTAGAATCAATAGGTGTGTTACCTTAGGCGACGATATTCGTAATTTACCTTCTACAATCATAAACCTACGGCATCTACACCATACATTAATGACATCGTGTAAAACACTCATAATTTCAGGAGAAACAAGAATAACACAATAAATATTAATCTTGATATAAATGTACTAAAATTCCATTTAATATTTTATAGGTAATCCCGGTACGGTAGAAATGACCCGATTTCAGGAAAAGATGAATTATAGTGTTGGTGAAAAGATTGAGATTAAATGTAAAGGAGATGTTGGAAATCCTGAAAAATCCTGGTTCTGGGAATCAAAATTAACTAGTGATTCCTTCTTTAACCCAATAAGAGAGAATATAACAAAAGGCACAGTTGATCCACCAACATCAACTCGATGTGGATATTATTCTAGAAGTACATTGAACTATTACGTTGGTCAAGATGATAATGGTCTGGTAATCAGATGTAAGGCTGATAACTCTGACCTGCACAGTGACAATAAAACTATCTACGTAACAAGTAAGTGAATATCACAATACAAGCAATTCTTGTATCAAATTTTTTGTGTTGTACCACTTGTTATTCTCAAATTTGATGATTGAATATAAAAGAGAAAAAAAACCTATGACTTAGTCTTTTCAGGAATCTAGCAACGCTAGCTAGACTTATATGAGAGAGAGAGAGAGAGAGAGAGAGAGAGAGGGGGGTAACGTCCACTCGACACAAACTATGTCATTTCAGGACTAACACATGGTTCAATTCTGTTTTAATTATTTGCTTGCGCGTAGGGGTCTTTAGTAGTGGGAGGAATCCGGAGGACCAGGAGAGAACCCACGAGGTTGGACAGGCGACCCTACTCCTTGTCAAGTATAACCGGGGAGTCGAAACCCCGCCAGTTGACTCAATGACAGACCTTATGATACAGCGAGCACGTGTAAACTATGTGTCATCCCTGCTTGTTGTGTTTGTTTATGACAAATTTAACATCCAATACATGATATTATGGACAGGAAGATTTAATTATGTTATTTACATATGAAGGCGTAATAAAAACAAAAACAAGGGTAAAAAAAGTTTTTTAGGGAGTCATTATATTCGATTTTTGTATATGGAAATGTCACTTTGGGAACAGTGTTAAAATTCGCTGTCGAGAGAAGAGAGGGCGGGTGTCTTCTCTCCGTTGTCATAATAAAATAAAAATAGATCAGGAGGTCAAGCTGATAGATTCCACGTAATAACAATGCGGATAGGAGGTCACCGGAGGGGAGGTGTTGGTGTGTGGGGAGGGGAATAGAATCCGCCGACTGCCTGTGGATTATTTACAAATTCAAAATTATTTCCAGATTAAATCTGTGCAAAGGGTTAAACATGTCTGATCCTTTAAAACAGTTCATCTTTAAAATACGTTTAAAATTATATTCACTCTGTAGTCCATTAAAAGCTTTTCTTGCTGTGGATGACTCTCTCGAGATAAAATTTAAACAAAAATAGAAAATAGTGTCAGCAACAGCACAGAACAGAACAATAAAATCATTTATAAGTATAATATACATTACAATTTTAAACACATATTACACATATTTGTATGCATTACTAAATGGTTGTGTAGGTCCATGTTTGTTTTTTATTTTTCCTTATATTAAATCAATGAGCAGGCTGAACCGCCATGTTACAACAGTAGTTCCTCCATGTGTAACTAGATACGTAAATCCCTACATCATTTTAAATTTATTCTGATATTATTAAAGCATCCGGGTTATCTTTTCCGTTACTCGTCATATAGTGCTGCAATTTGTGCGGCTGACTGAAATAGCTTATTAAACAATCTTTTATTCCTAGACGCGGAGATTAGATGTTCGTGGTACCGAAGTTCGGCAATACTATATACAGAAAAACACCGGAAAACAACCGGAAACTGATTACCGGAAGAACACTAAATACCGGAAAACAACTAAATACCGGAAAACACCCTAAATAGGTAACCCAGAGCCTAGCTGGTCCTCTGTTTGCGGGGAGTTAGGGTTAGATTTTCCGGTGTTTTCCAGAGGACCACCGGTGGGTTAGGTTTAAGAATTTGCTGGAGAGGTTTGGCCTCCACATAAGCAATGACCTAGGGTGATGAAAAATTAGTTCGTGATATTTCCTAGTTTTATTAAAACACATACAATACATTATACAAAGGTAATTTAACTGTTTTTGGTGTTGGTGGCGATGATGGTCTTCCTTGGATGGTGCTTCTGGTATTCTGGTATTTTTGTTTCTGAAGAAAAAAAGAATAAATTTGGGGCTCTCGGGGGAGAGCCACATTAGTGTGTTTCCTACTAAGAATTGGATTTAAAAGAAAGGGCTAGGGATTCTTATATCTAGTTGATTTTATTTACTAACGGTTAGGGATAGGATTTGATATATGGTTTGGTTTGGGTAAGGATGGAGACTGGTCTTATTTAATCTAATTTACTGTGCACTAGGATGTCGTTCAGATTTTTTATTTTTAGAATATGCAATTATAAGTGTCTGTGTGAAAATTCTGGATACACTTGCTGATGTTGCGCTAAATGGAACTACAAAAGTGGCTATTGCGCTAGCCGTATGAATATTCAAACCAAAGGGTAGTTTCCCGGTGTTTTCCTGTATATACTTTATGGTATTTTAAATTCAGGAATTTACATTGAATTCAGGAATTTACATTGAATTCAGGAATTTACATTGAATTCAGGAATTTACATTAAATTCAGGAATTTACATTAAATTCAGGAATTTACATTAAATTCAGGAATTTACATTAAATTCAGGAATTTACATTAAATTCAGGAATTTACATTAAATTCAGGAATTTACATTAAATTCAGGAATTACACTCTCGTTAGCTTGTTTTGATGACTTGGTGTCCTTAGTTAATGTGATAGCCTATTAAGAATTTAGAAGAAGTGGGATAATTCAGGACCGAGCTGTAATTTAATTCGCATGTGCTATTTTTACATTTAAGTAATCATATAAAGCTAAAATAAGACGTGATGACGTCATGAGGTTGATTTATGATAATTTCTGACAAGATATTCTGATTTGCAGCGGCCATATGTATATCTGCAACAATTTTATACGGGGAAAATATTAATATGGAAAAAATTACATTTGGCGGGCAATTTAAATTTATTTAATTTTGGTCCTTTCCCCGCCACGAAAACCACGCTTATAAACATCTCGCCACGCCCAGGCCGCTCGTACACACGATCTGACAGATGTTTTACTTAGTAGCGAAGTCATGGTCTATGTGGGAAGGTTTCTTGCTTTACTCTCTTGATGGATGAAAACGGGTACCTCTCCTATCTACTAAAATTCCGACAGTCGAGGATAGGTCGTTGTGACGTTAGCAATCACGTGGTTGGAGGGTTCTGCTAGCGCGGCGCGATCTTTAGAGTGCTGTGACAACGTGGTTTAGCACGGAGGGAACGTTGGGCTTTGTGTACGCGTAATGAAAACGTAGAAAAGGATGAACATTTCTGCAATTTTGCGTGTACTGAGAGGGTAGTTGTCTTTACACTTGAGTTGTTTTTCCATATTTCACCGCAAACTCCCCACGCTGTATGTAATTTTGAGCGTAGTAAGCGGGTAGTGAGAGATTCTTTATGTGTAAAGGGGCTTTATAACATGGTCTTGGAAAAGTTAAATTAATTTTGTATATTTTATACAGATATAAAATAATAAGCTCTTCTGAATATAACACCTTCACAGAAAGTTGTAATAATTTCACAAAATTATTTTGTGTAGACTGCAATAGTGTCTAACTGGCTAATTGTCAATATTGTCTGACAAGGAAAGCTGTCTAGTCGTTCGGATGGGACGAAAAACCGAGGTCCCGTGTACACATTGGCGTGCACGTAAAAGATCCCTTGGCAGTTGGAATTCGAAATAAGAGTAGGCCTTAGTGCCGCTGTCCGGGCAAAATTTCCCTCATAGCACACTGTATGGCGTATGCCCGTCTTCATTAGCCCAGGTTAGGAGCAGAACAGTAGGACGTTAAACTCCATTTCATTTTCATTTTGTCAATATTGTTTATACAATCTTATCAGACGTGACATATTTACAAACAATCCATACAACCTTTTACACACACTATTCTGTAGTTGATATATGTTTTCAGATGTCAAGGCTGCTAGGCTCACAATAACACCATCTCAGAATCTACAGGCAGATCGTTAACATTACGGCGTTCATCTGTTTCTAAATCTGTTTATACTGATGTATACAAAATCATGCAACCTTTTACACACACTGTTCTGTAGTTGATATATATTTTCAGATGCCAAAGCTGTTAGACTCACAATAACACCATCCCAGAATCTAAAGGCAGGTGCTACATCTTTAACATTACGGTGTTCACCTGTTTCTAACTCTGTTTATACTAACCTATACAGTATACAGATAAACAAACGTACCCTGGTACAGAATTCACAAACAACGCTCATGGCAGTAATAAATGGGGCAGGGACTACACCTGGAACAGGAATAACACCACCTAAATATACAGTGACTGGTAATTATGATATAAATCAACAACCAACACAAGGCTTCCTACAAATTATTATAATTAATCCTGATTTTAATGACGCTGCTGAATATCAATGTATAACAACTGGAGCTCCTACTATATCTACTAATCCAGGGACGTTACAAGAAAATAAAAATGTCACAGTTGAAAGTAAGTATTTTATGTATATAATGTATACCATGATTAGGTGACATTTTACTGTTCAAAGTAAATATGTCATGTGTATAATGTTACATCGTTGAAATTCTTAATATGTATTACACGGAGATTAGAGTTATTACACGGAATTAAAATGTAACAGTAAGTATGTCGTGTGTATGGTTATTCTACCTGCTGAGTAACGGAATTTGTTATATAAATTACCCTATTAAATCTGTAAAAAACATGGAATGTCGTTCAATATTTGTATAACATAATACGTTGGGGATTTTATTTCCGTGAATATATCTGAAATTCGGGCTTGGCCGAACGTATGTAACCGTATGGTTGATCAATGTATTTCACCTGATATCAAAAATGAGTCTAGTCAAAGTAGGAGTTGAGCTAGAACAAATTGCAAAAGAAGGTTTCTTGGTACCGTTGTGTTCGTGGAACCACCCTCTACAACATATCCAAAGTTCCCTGATTTTCGTTGCGGCAAAGGGCCTAAAGATGATGATGATAATGGTCTGGTAATCAGATGTAAGGCTGATAACTCTGACCTGCACAGTGACAATAAAACTATCTACGTAACAAGTAAGTGAATATCAGAATACAAGCAATTATTGTATCAAATTTTTTGTGTTGTACCACTTGTTATTCTCAAATTTGATGATTGAATATAAAAGAGAAAAAAACTATGACTTAGTCTTTTCAGGAATCTAGCAACGCTAGCTAGACTTATATGAGAGAGAGAGAAAGAGAGAGAGAGAGAGAGAGAGAGGGGGGTAACGTCCACTCGACACAAACTATGTCATTTCAGGACTAACACATGGTTCAATTCTGTTTTAATTATTTGCTTGCGCGTAGGGGTCTTTAGTAGTGGGAGGAATCCGGAGGACCCGGAGAGAACCCACGAGGTTGGACAGGCGACCCTACTCCTTGTCAAGTATAACCGGGGAGTCGAAACCCCGCCAGTTGACTCAATGACAGACCTTATGATACAGCGAGCACGTGTAAACTATGTGTCATCCCTGCTTGTTGTGTTTGTTTATGACAAATTTAACATCCAATACATGATATTATGGACAGGAAGATTTAATTATGTTATTTACATATGAAGGTGTAATAAAAACAAAAACAAGGGTAAAAAAAGTTTTTTAGGGAGTCATTACATTCGATTTTTGTATATGGAAATGTCACTTTGGGAACAGTGTTAAAATTCGCTGTCGAGAGAAGAGAGGGCGGGTGTCTTCTCTCCATTGTCATAATAAAATAAAAATAGATCAGGAGGTCAAGCTAATAGATTCCACGTAATAACAATGCGGATAGGAGGTCACCGGAGGGGAGGTGTTGGTGTGTGGGGAGGGGAATAGAATCCGCCGACTGCCTGTGGATTATTTACAAATTCAAAATTATTTCCAGATTAAATCTGTGCAAAGGGTTAAACATGTTTGATCCTTTAAAACAGTTCATCTTTAAAATACGTTTAAAATTATATTCACTCTGTAGTCCATTAAAAGCTTTTCTTGCTGTGGATGACTCTCTCCAGATAAAATTTAAACAAAAATAGAAAATAGTGTCAGCAACAGCACAGAACAGAACAATAAAATCATTTATAAGTATAATATACATTACAATTTTAAACACATATTACACATATTTGTATGCATTACTAAATGGTTGTGTAGGTCCATGTTTGTTTTTTATTTTTCCTTATATTAAATCAATGAGCAGGCTGAACCGCCATGTTACAACAGTAGTTCCTCCATGTGTAACTAGATATGTAAATCCCTACATCATTTTAAATTTATTCTGATATTATTAAAGCATCCGGGTTATCTTTTCCGTTACTCGTCATATAGTGCTGCAATTTGTGCGGCTGACTGAAATAGCTTATTAAACAATCTTTTATTCCTAGACGCGGAGATTAGATGTTCGTGGTACCGAAGTTCGGCAATACTATATACAGAAAAACACCGGAAAACAACTGGAAACTGATTACCGGAAGAACACTAAATACCGGAAAACAACTAAATACCGGAAAACACCCTAAATAGGTAACCCAGAGCCTAGCTGGTCCTCTGTTTGCGGGGAGTTAGGGTTAGATTTTTCCGGTGTTTTCCAGAGGACCACCGGTGGGTTAGGTTTAAGAATTTGCTGGAGAGGTTTGGCCTCCACATAAGCAATGACCTAGGGTGATGAAAAATTAGTTCGTGATATTTCCTAGTTTTATTAAAACACATACAATACATTATACAAAGGTAATTTAACTGTTTTTGGTGTTGGTGGCGATGATGGTCTTCCTTGGATGGTGCTTCTGGTATTTTTGTTTCTGAAGAAAAAAAGAATAAATTTGGGGCTCTCGGGGGAGAGCCACATTAGTGCGTTTCCTACTCAGAATTGGATTTAAAAGAAAGGGCTAGGGATTCTTATATCTAGTTGATTTTATTTACTAAAGGTTAGGGATAGGATTTGATATATGGTTTGGTTTGGGTAAGGATGGAGACTGGTCTTATTTAATCTAATTTACTGTGCACTAGGATGTCGTTCAGATTTTTTATTTTTAGAATATGCAATTATAAGTGTCTGTGTGAAAATTTTAGGGTGATTTTATATAGTATATATCAGTATATATAGTGTTTTCTGATGATTTTGGATACACTTGCTGATGTTGCGCTAAATGGAACTACAAAAGTGGCTATTGCGCTAGCCGTATGAATAATAAAACCAAAGGGTAGTTTCCCGGTGTTTTCCTGTATATACTTTATGGTATTTTAAATTCAGGAATTTACATTGAAGTCAGGAATTTACATTGAAGTCAGGAATTTACATTGAATTCAGGAATTTACATTGAATTCAGGAATTTACATTGAATTCAGGAATTTACATTGAATTCAGGAATTTACATTAAATTCAGGAATTTACATTAAATTCAGGAATTACACTCTCGTTAGCTTGTTTTGATGACTTGGTGTCCTTAGTTAATGTGATAGCCTATTAAGAATTTAGAAGAAGTGGGATAATTCAGGACCGAGCTGTAATTTAATTCGCATGTGCTATTTTTACATTTAAGTAATCATATAAAGCTAAAATAAGACGTGATGACGTCATGGGGTTGATTTATGATAATTTCTGACAAGATATTCTGATTTGCAGCGGCCATATGTATATCTGCAACAATTTTATACGGGGAAAATATTAATATGGAAAAAATTACATTTGGCGGGCAATTTAAATTTATTTAATTTTGGTCCTTTCCCCGCCACGAAAACCACGCTTATAAACATCTCGCCACGCCCAGGCCGCTCGTACACACGATCTGACGGATGTTTTACTTAGTAGCGAAGTCATGGTCTATGTGGGAAGGTTTCTTGCTTTGCTCTCTTGATGGATGAAAACGGGTACCTCTCCTATCTACTAAAATTCCGACAGTCGAGGATAGGTCGTTGTGACGTTAGCAATCACGTGGTTGGAGGGTTCTGCTAGCGCGGCGCGATCTTTAGAGTGCTGTGACAACGTGGTTTAGCACGGAGGGAACGTTGGGCTTTGTGTACGCGTAATGAAAACGTAGAAAAGGATGAACATTTCTGCAATTTTGCGTGTACTGAGAGGGTAGTTGTCTTTACACTTGAGTTGTTTTTCCATATTTCACCGCAACCTCCCCACGCTGTATGTAATTTTGAGCGTAGTAAGCGGGTAGTGAGAGATTCTTTATGTGTAAAGGGGCTTTATAACATGGTCTTGGAAAAGTTAAATTAATTTTGTATATTTTATACAGATATAAAATAATAAGCTCTTCTGAATATAACACCTTCACAGAAAGTTGTAATAATTTCACAAAATTATTTTGTGTAGACTGCAATAGTGTCTAACTGGCTAATTGTCAATATTGTCTGACAAGGAAAGCTGTCTAGTCGTTCGGATGGGACGAAAAACCGAGGTCCCGTGTACACATTGGCGTGCACGTAAAAGATCCCTTGGCAGTTGGAATTCGAAATAAGAGTAGGCCTTAGTGCCGCTGTCCGGGCAAAATTTCCCTCATAGCACACTGTATGGCGTATGCCCGTCTTCATTAGCCCAGGTTAGGAGCAGAACAGTAGGACGTTAAACTCCATTTCATTTTCATTTTGTCAATATTGTTTATACAATCTTATCAGACGTGACATATTTACAAACAATCCATACAACCTTTTACACACACTATTCTGTAGTTGATATATGTTTTCAGATGTCAAGGCTGCTAGGCTCACAATAACACCATCTCAGAATCTACAGGCAGATCGTTAACATTACGGCGTTCATCTGTTTCTAAATCTGTTTATACTGATGTATACAAAATCATGCAACCTTTTACACACACTGTTCTGTAGTTGATATATATTTTCAGATGCCAAAGCTGTTAGACTCACAATAACACCATCCCAGAATCTAAAGGCAGGTGCTACATCTTTAACATTACGGTGTTCACCTGTTTCTAACTCTGTTTATACTAACCTATACAGTATACAGATAAACAAACGTACCCTGGTACAGAATTCACAAACAACGCTCATGGCAGTAATAAATGGGGCAGGGACTACACCTGGAACAGGAATAACACCACCTAAATATACAGTGACTGGTAATTATGATATAAATCAACAACCAACACAAGGCTTCCTACAAATTATTATAATTAATCCTGATTTTAATGACGCTGCTGAATATCAATGTATAACAACTGGAGCTCCTACTATATCTACTAATCCAGGGACGTTACAAGAAAATAAAAATGTCACAGTTGAAAGTAAGTATTTTATGTATATAATGTATACCATGATTAGGTGACATTTTACTGTTCAAAGTAAATATGTCATGTGTATAATGTTACATCGTTGAAATTCTTAATATGTATTACACGAAGATTAGAGTTATTACACGGAATTAAAATGTAACAGTAAGTATGTCGTGTGTATGGTTATTCTACCTGCTGAGTAACGGAATTTGTTATATAAATTACCCTATTAAATCTGTAAAAAACATGGAATGTCGTTCAATATTTGTATAACATAATACGTTGGGGATTTTATTTCCGTGAATATATCTGAAATTCGGGCTTGGCCGAACGTATGTAACCGTATGGTTGATCAATGTATTTCACCTGATATCAAAAATGAGTCTAGTCAAAGTAGGAGTTGAGCTAGAACAAATTGCAAAAGAAGGTTTCTTGGTACCGTTGTGTTCGTGGAACCACCCTCTACAACATATCCAAAGTTCCCTGATTTTCGTTGCGGCAAAGGGCCTAAATTAAATTAAACCAAAATTGCCGCCAAATGTACCTTTGGAGTATCATATCTCCTGTCATATTTATATTTTCGCTGTATAAAATTGTCACAGATATATGCATGACCACTGTGAATCAGAATATTTTGTCAGAAATTACCATAAATCAAACCCATGACATCATCATATCTTATTTTGACGCTAAATGATGACTGATGATGTCAGCATACAATTTTAAAAAAAAAACGTCACGGAGCTCCTTGGAACAAGTTAATTGATCAGAGTCAAACACAAAATTGTAGATTTCAATTTTAATTCGTTCAACATTTTATGCCCATTACTAAGGTATACTTAACTGGCTTCTGATATTCAAAAATAGACCGGTTTGCCAATAAAAGATAAAACACATATAGCTTCTCCCATCTCTAATCGAAATAACGAACAAGATCAAGCCAAAATCAAAGAGGTTTGCTCATTTTAAGAGTTGTCACACAATGCCCTGCACAAAGGATTGGATGATTTATTAATAAATTTCTGACTTAAACTGTTGACTACTGAAAACAAAACAAAGGTATACCTTAAAATTTTGCTTACTTTACGGACGTCAATATTTTAATGTAGTTAGATTCCTAATATACAGGAACCTCCTGTATACTCTAGCGGCTCTACAGATCTCAATATTTTAATTTAGTTCATTTCCTAATAATTGTAGATAGTGGAACTCTAGTGGACTAAGATGGCCCTGTAATTCACATTTTAAGTGATGTTACTGGTTTGCTTCGGTGGACACAGACATTAAGCAAAGCTATTTCATTTGTCACACAGTGTTGTTTGTAGCGGTTATTGTTAAGGCAATCCTTAGCTGAAATGGCACACCCGATCATCTCTTTTCAATTGATTTGATCTCTAGCAAACAGTTTAATTGTCAATATTTTGTTACAGTTAATTTTCTTTCTCCGAAATCGAGCTATACACCACAAGCTATATATTGTTGCTAATAATTGTAGGTACAGGGGCTATTGTAAGTGGTGCTGTTGGATATATAAGTGTTATAATGGTCACGGTAATGGTTGGTGTGGTATTTTAGTTCTGCAAGAAAAGGTAAACGGCTCAGATTATCTCTCGTGTCATGCAACCACAAAACTGTGGTGGCTCTATCGTGATATGGGATTGCCTTCCACATGACTGTAAACATCCACTGGTAAAAGTCAGAGGCTATGTCTAAGACCAACAGTACCAAAGAAAGCATTTGGATAGGGTTGTAGTGCCCAACTTTAACAATCACCCTTTTTTCACAAGACTAAACCGTGCGCGTGCCGTTGTTCATTTTCTGTGTCAAAAGGGCATTGCTACGCTACACAATTGTCCAACCAGAAGCCCCAACCTGAATCCACTTGAGGATATCTTGACACTTCGTTAGCGAAACTCCCGTCAGTGGGATCCACCAGTGCCGAATCGTGACAATTGTGATCAGGCACTACACCAGGAATGGGAGAAATTAACGCAAATTCAGATTTGACGTGTCATGCTGCAATCAATGAATAGGAGAGTTGCCTTCTTTCGCAGCTTTGGCGGCTCTATGGACAATATGAAAATGAAATGAACTGAACTGTAAGATTTCATGTTGCCCTTTACCAGCCACATGTTTTTGTTCTTGGTTTCACCCATTTTCTGGCTCTATTTTTAAACTCGACAGAATCGCATTAATTCATCTACTTAAGCTTCAGTTTTGTCCTTCGTTCCTGATTCAGTGTTTGCTCTTGATAGTATAGGAAGATTGCATACGTTTCAGAATGTAAAAAGAGTTAACACATGTTGTCAAACATTAGTACTATATTCAAATAGGGTTTTGCGATACTTTTTATTCAGTGTATAATGTTATGCCTAAGAACATTTGTGTATTTCAGACGTCAGCTGAGTAAGCCAAAGGAAGATAATATTCCTGATTATGTTTATAGTAATACATCTTTAACATCTACGACACCACAACCTACAATTACAACATATGACAGTCTTTAAATCATCTAGTATTCTTGGTTTTGTATAATATTTATTAAACAATCATAACTTTTGATGCATTTTGCAAATTCTTTGGATGATTCGATTAGTCTGAGGGATAGCTAAGAGTATATATTATTATGTTATATTTTATGTAATTCCTTTTTAAAATGTATACAGTATAAACTATATAACCAGGTTTGCCCAAAATCACGAATTTCTAACTTCGCACGCAAGTTATGCCCCAGTAAAAGCACCGCTATGATCATACTAAACTAGCAGATTTTTAAAGAAAATTCAATTTCAATAGATTTCAATTGCAGTTATCGAATAGTGGTAGTATTATTTTAAAAATGTATAACGAATATAAAACAACATCTTAGCAATTATACACAGGGCCTTTTGGCTTTAAAGTTAGGCTGAACACATCATTAAATTATGTTTATTAATCTATCAGTTGAGAAATTCATAGAAATACTTCACTTTAGAATCCCAAACGCCTGGCATCGTTGAAGGTACATGACGATGTACGTGACGTTATTTTCTAAATGAAGAATGCCGATTAAAACGCAATAAGTAATATGTACAAGAAATTAATTGTAAAATATTGGTGGCACACTGCAACCAGCAATCATCATCATATGAATATTTGTAAATTTATTTACAAACGAAGACAAAAACATGTTAAAAACAATACTACTGCCAATTCGCAGCTAACTTCAAATAATGAGAGAAATTGTAAAAAGTACATCAGGCCTTGTTTCTCATGGTAGTATAAATGTCTGTCGAAATCTACAATAAAATATCAACACAGTGTCAGATTTTACAAATCAATTTAGCGCATTAAACTTTATTATAAGACAGTCGTGAAAGACATGAATAAGCAATACGAAAAGGATAAAATGATCGGAAAAAAAATATATCCTTGACCATCTCGGTGGTAGTAAGCTTATACACTATTACATCACTACAACATCAAAGCTGACGATGAAAAAGAAAAGTTTGAGGCCAGCTACGCTCGGCGACATTGTCTTTGTTTCAATCTCAATCCCCTAACTTTTAAAAACGCCATTACGGGCCTGCTACTACACTGTGTACTCCGGTTAAAAGAAGCCATTATAAGTTCGCTTAACTTTAAGGTACCTCCCATAGGTCACTTAAAGTTAAGTGGATTTTTCTCACTTAAACTGGCCTTTGAATACCGCTAAAAGACTAAACACTTAAAAGTTAAGGCACATTAACTTGGGGGACAATTTTATACTTAACATTGCCTTTGAATACCACTTACCCTTAACTTACAGGAAGTTACGTATATTTAAGTGAAATCTAGTAGTTAAGTGACTATCTTAGACTTAAGATATCCTTTGAATACGGACCCAGGTATACAATAATACAGAAACAATAATTAATTACACAATATATTCCTTTAAAAATCTAGAGCCAAGCAGAAAATTGATGTAGAATTTTCTTTTATTTTAGATGTTGATCCTGGTAATAGCGAAACCCATGGCCCGAGTACTGAAGCAGGTAAAAGGTTTTATTTTAAATATATTTTCTTTCTTTAAAACCTAAACACGCGAATTCTTCTATTTGTGGGTTGTGTCAGCAGAATTGTCAGAATTATTATGTTGGTATTCATCATGCACGTTATCGTCAGCAACATCTTTTCCGTAAACATTTTTATGGCTAGAGCTCTTTGTTCACGGTCAAACATGATATTGTAGATTTCATTTTTAACTCGTTCAATATTTTACGTCCATTACGAAGATACACTCGACTGTGCTCCTGATATTCAAAAACAGACCGACTTGCCTTTAATCTTTCCAATAAAAGATTAAACGCATATAGCCCACCCCCTCCCGTATCAAAGCAGTTTACCTCCTCTAAGATTTTGTACACCTTGTCCCGCACACGGTAGACGGTTTACTAATAAATTCCTGACATAAACAAAATCTTGACTACTGAAAACTAAATAAAAATAAACCACAAAATGTGTCTCAATCTACGGACGTCAACATGTTAATGTAGTTAGATTTCTAATAATTGTAGATAGTGGAACTCCAGAATATCATGTTTGGTTGCTTGGTGATATCACATCGGGGTCACGGTGGCTAAGTGGGTAAGACGATGGCTGCATTGGCCTAGAAAGTTCGTTGGGATTATTCGATCTGGTTTCGCCTTGTCAGTGGTGCGGGACAGAGGGCGCGACAGGAACAGCTGTCTAGTCGTTCGAATGAGACGTAAAACCGAGGTCATGAGTATACATTGGCGTGTACTTAAAAGATCCCTTGACACTTGGAATTCGATGTAAGAGTAGACCCAAGTGCACATTGTATGGCGTATGTCCGTCTTCATTAACCCATTCGGAGCAGAACAGTGAGACGTTTGATATCACCTCGGTGGAAACAGACGTTACGTAAAGCTATTTGAATCAGGAGCGGATCCAGGAATTTTTGCAGTGGAGGGTTTGCCAGGTTCCTGTTATGAAATTTGACAGCTGTTGATAATGCATGATGCCATCATCGTCTCCAAATTACGCAGGCATGCGTACATACTGAGGTTTTTGAAGAGAGAAATCCAACACCCCGTTTGACATCAATTTTGATATCAATAGGATCACATTGTGATTCAATTTCATTGATGCAAAGCATTAATTGTGATATCACAATATGTCCATATCATTATCTTGCTCTTTGAATGCCCATCCTATCACACAATATTATGATAAAGAATAAAACATATGACTGTGACACTTTTCTCATTTTTTTATGCCACTCCCTTCTGGATTCACCCCTGAGAAGCTTTTTTTTTATTTTAGATGTTAAGCCTACTAATGGCGGAAATCAGGATATAACTACTGGCGTAGGTAAGATGTTTCATTTTAAATACTTTTAATTTTCTTCAAAACAAAAATACGTGAAATCTTTCATTTGTGGGTGGGTGGGCGGAATTGGCAGAGTCATCATTTATGTATTCGTCATGCACGTTATTCTCAGGAACATCTTTTTCATAAAAAAACCCATTCATGGCTAGACCTCTTTGAACTCGTTCAACATTTTACGTTCATCACTAAGGTATACTCGACTGTGTGCCAGAATAGACCGGCTTCCCTTTAATCTTGCCGGAGTTATCCCCCTTTGTCGAAAATCTTTTGATTATGATAGATGCTATTAAACCCATACAGCTCTATATCTCCCCCACCTAACTTAATAACGCACAAGATTATGTCAAAATCAAAGAGCTTAACACCTTTTTCGAACCCTGCCCCCACCCTCCCGCTCTATCTCTAGACCGTGACACTTTTCTCATTTTATATGTCCCTCCCCTCTGGATCCGCTCTTAAGAATCCTTTTTTTATTTTAGATGTAGAGCCTACTAGTGGCGGAAATCAAGGTATAACTACTGGCGTAGGTAAGATATTTCATTTTAAATACTTTTAATTTTCTTTAAAACAAAAACACGTGAAATCTCTCATTTCTGGGTGGGTGGGCAGAATTGGCAGAATCATCATTTATGTATTCGTCATGCATTTTATCATCAGCGACATCATTTTCATAAACATTTTAATGGCTAAACCTCTTTGATCAGGGTCAGATATTAAATTGTAGATTGCAGTTTTATCTCGTTCAACATTATACGTCCATCACTAACGTATACTTGACTGTGTGCCAAAATAGACCAGCTTCCCTTTAATCTTGCCGGAGTTACCCCCCTTGGCCGAAAATATTTTGAATGCGATAGATGCTATTAAACGCATATAGCTCCCCCATCTAACCTAATAACGCACAAGATCATGACAAAATCAAAGAGCCTGCCCCCCCCCCCCTCTTTCTCTCAAAACAGTTTATCTGTCAATATTTTATCATAGTTAATTTTCTTGCTATACCGTCTCTAATAATTGTAGGTATAGGAAGACCAACAGAATCTGGTTGCTCTATAGACCCTATTGTGAGTGGTGTAATTGGTTTTATATGTGGTATAATGGTCATGATAATAATTGATGTGGTATATTATTGCTACAAGAAAAGGTAACCATTGTTAGTCACATTAAATCGGGTATTTTATTCTGTGCGTAATGACTCAAAGGGTTGGATATGGCACTAAGATACATATCAAACTACCACTCTTATCACGGGTACCTCTATCATGATATGGGGTTGACTTCCATATGATTATTAGCGTCCACTAGTAACAGTTTTTTTGTTTTTTTTAAACAATATTTTATTAAATATTAGGATTAGGAAACAGGCAAAGCCTATATAATCCCTCTCCCCAAAATTTTAACATATAAAGTAATAAAACAAAGGAAATATGTACACTATTTACAATATAATACATAAATATAACTATATTCAATCAATCAGTCAATTGCACATGCATTCAAAGTTAGCTAATAATATTGGTATTTAAATAATAACAATAATAATTATATATACATACACACGCACACATACATATGTATATCTATATACACACACATATATACATATATCCACCGTAAACAAAGAAGTACTTGTACTTTATCTACTTTAATATATATATACAGATACATACATATATACGCACACATACATACATAGAAATAATATTAAACCTATTAAAAATTAAAATCGTTTTGTAATTTCTATGAAATTATGAACTATTGAAAATATGGAGTAGTTGGTAGCATTGGTAAGTTCGGAGGATCCAGAAAGTAGTTTCTCTGCTGTGTTGGGAGAGTCTCAATTGTTATCCGTCGTTCATCCAAATACAAGGGGCAAACTAGTAGGTAATGATAGCTGTCTTCAAATTGATGTCCACTATTACAAGTAGGATTTTGATGAACATGTCTGAGGAATTTGTGACCGTTTAAATCGCTCATATTAAGGCGGAGTTTGGAATGAATTATTTGATGTTTTCTAGAGCAGTTAGAGGTAATCTCTAAGGCCAACGGTATCAGAAAGAGAATTTGGACAGGGTTGAAGTACCTCACTTTGACAATCATCCTTTTCTCACAAGCCCAATATGTTTGGACGACAACGCTAGACCACATCGTGCACATGTTGCATTAGGGGGTCGTTGCTACACTACCTTGGCAAGTCAGAAGCCCTGAAATAAATCCAATTGAGCACATATGGACCATTCTTAAGCTTAAAACCTTTCAGAGGGATCCACCAGTGCGGAATCGTAACGCTTGTAGGCACTACACCATATAAAAGGGTCAGATTAAAGTAGGCTCCGATCTGACGTCTAATACAGTCAATGGGGATAAGAGTTCAACAGGTGGTCCATGCTGGTGGAGGCTGCATCAGATATTGATTTATTTGCTGTTTTGATGGCGATATGCACAAATTAAAAATAAAATGAAATGAGCTGAACTGAACTGTAGGATTTTTTTTTAACTCAACAGAATCCCAACTGTCTTTCTTTGCTGCTTCAGTGTTTCATCAAGGCAGCACAGAGTGTAATAGAGCTAAGATATCTGTTGAAACATTAACACTATATTTAAATAGGGGTGTTACAATACCTTTTTTCTCAGTGTATATTCTTACATGCCAAAGAACATCAATTGTGTATTTCAGAGGTCAGATGAGTAAACCAAAGGAAGATAATATTCCTGATTATGTTTATAGTAATACATCTTTAACATCTACGACACCGCAACCTACAATTACAACATGTGACACAGTGTCATATACAAACCAATCCACAACTACGACAGTGTCAGATGTTAATGTAAGGAACGACCAATATGTAAACCAGCCGTTTGATCAACAAAATATAAGAAATGAATATGAAACATTAAATCACACCACCGATAATATAGGCAATACTTACTCTGCATTACAATCACATTGAAACTTTTAAGTTGCGATGAAATAGGTAATATTTGAGCATGCTTATGGATAGATTTGGCGCTCAAGAAATGAACATTTATTATTATTACTTATTTACTTACTTACTTACTTACTTACTTACTTACTTACTCTTCATTACGGTAGAATAGGTAATACTTACTCTTCATTCCAATCACATTAAAACCTTTAAGATTGGAAAGTCTTAAAATGACCCCATTCCATGTGACAGTCTTAAAATGACCGCATAATATGACAATCTTAAAATTTTCCCATCTTATGTAACAATCTCTAAAATGACCCCACCTCATGTGACTATCTCAAAATGATCCCATCCCATGTGACAATCTTAAAATGAACTCTTCCTATATGACAATCTTAAAATGACCTCTTCCTATATGACAATCTAAAAAACACTCTTTCCATGTGACATTCTTAAATTAATGACCATGCATTTTGCCAATTCTGTGGATGGTTCGGTTATTGAGATTTAAAAGCCCGCAATATTTCCGACTGATAATTGTTCAGAAAGACAAGTTTAGGTTTTAATCTGGGCTGCCAAGAATTATATACTATTATGTTATATTTTATGTAATGCCTTTTAAAAATGTATACAGTATAAACTATATAAACAGGTTTATTTTGAGATTATTGGTTTACAACGTGACACAGATTGCTGGTTCTAGAGAGAGAGAGAGAGAGAGAGAGAGAGAGAGAGAGATGGGGTTTAACGTCCACTCGACACAAACTAGGTCATTTCGGGACTAACATATGGTTTAATTTTATTTCAATAATTCGCTTGCGCGTAGGGGTCTTTAGCAGTGGGAGGAAACCGGAAGACCCGGAGAAAACCCACGAGGTTGGACAGGCGACCCTACTCCTTGCCACGTACAACCGGGGATTCGAAACACGCCAGTCGACTCAATGACAGACTTTATGATACAGCGCGCGCACGCTAACCATTTAGCCATCCAACACCCCCCTGGTTCTATAGATCTGCATCTGGAACATAACCTGAAAGTTCCAAGACTAACCATTTGTCTTAAATATTTAAATTTTTTATAGAACACATTTTAATTTAATCATTTACTTATATCTATAATTAGCGTAGGTTCACAATATGATTATCAATTTACTTTGTTTATATTAAAATTTATCATCAAATTACTTTGTTTATGTTAAAATACATTTACTTTTATTAATCCACTAATTCGTTTATTTAATTAGTTTAGTTTTAAGTTTTAGTTTAACATTAATATTTTACTTTTGTTTCATACTAATACGGGGTTGTAAAGCTTAGTCGATGGCATGATGACAATAAACAAACCCCTTAAAATAGAATGATGACATGCACAGTTAGCATTGGAGATCCTTCAACATAGGTGTATGGGCTCGAGAGGCGAGAGGCGAAGGAGCCGAGCTTACCGTGTAGACCAACCACCGGCGTCACCCAACCCCGCTAAAAATAATTCGGACAAATTGACGGCCGCAAACGCGTTTCCTGCTATTCCAGTCCGTGTATACAGCAACGTCAAAGTGGTCCAATATAGCCTAATGTAAATTTGAACTGCTTAAGCCTACTACGTATGCTGCAACACAGTCACAATCAAAATATCAACGGTAGATAATAACCTAGTTTGGTTTCAATCGGATTAAATGAGGCCCATCGAAGATTTCAGTCGTCCATCATATCCTTGTAAATACCGATCTTTAAGGGGTGAGGCTACGCGAAAAATGTTTCTGAAATTAAAGCTATTGAATTGAAAATGGCATTGTAATAAACAAGGGAAAACTAACATTAAAAAAAAGAAAAAAAAATTGTTGCCAGGTTAACACATATTTTTGGAAAAAGTATGGAAAAGGTAGGTACACCATATTTCTGGCACTAAAAAGATTAGGACTGCATATTCTTTAATGATAACACTAAAACAAGACAAATAGTTTTTATCTACAATTTTTATAGTTTCTTGTAAAATGGTGTTTAAAAACATTTGTTTCTTCACAATATTTTGTCTTTGGAGACATATTTTGATAACTTTTGAAATATTTGTGGTAGATATTTGTGTATATATCCTACAAATTTGGTGAAGATATCTTAATTAGTTGCAGAGATATAGTGTACCTACGTTTTTCATAATTTTCCCCAAAATAATAAGTTACCCTGACAATGACTTTTTTTAAATGCTAATTTAACTACTTGTACCATTTTCAATTCAATAGCTTTAAAGTTACAGAACAAGATATCCAAAAAGGAATTGCCACCCCCTCCCCAAATGACGATCAGGGAATTTATACAAGTTATTCCTGACTCGACAATAATGTAACCGTCACAGTATTTCACTTATATGCTAGACGGGAGGTTGGGTGTTCTAGCGGTGTGTGAAATCACAAGGTCTGTCATTGAGTCGATTGGCGTGGTTTCGATTCCCCTCTTGAACGTGACAATTAAGGAGTAAGGTCGTCTGTCAAACCGCTTGGGTTTTCTCCTGCTTCTCCGGTTTCCATACACTGCTAAATAATTTTTGAAATAAAATGGGAACTGAATTGTATCTCCAACCACAGGCAATTCCTTTACCAACAGCACGTGAAAGGGTTTATTGTTAATATTAAACATTTTTGATTTTCTTGAGTCAGTCAGCATGTGGATGTTAAGCGACTTGTTTGGCGACAATTATCGTAGTAATTTAATTGGAGTGCGCACACCACACAACGACTTTGGCGATCCAGCAGATTACAAAATATCACGTGAATCGTCAATATGGCAGCAGTTTCGGCGTCAATTAATGTTGTTTTTGTACATAATGATGAGGCGGCGGTGAAGTCGACTTTGTACTGCGACACGAACCATCTGGATAAAAGATTTTTTTTTGCGGAGGCGAGCCCATGGCGTTTATTATGATCTAATTGGGCGACTCATGTATGTACACAAAATACATGAGGATGAGCTTAGAAATATTCTAGAATATCCTAAATTTAATTTGTCCGCTCGTTATCAAGTAAACCGCCAGGATGAGAGAACCAATAAAACCAATAAAGTAAGGAGAGCGATTGGGTGTCAACCCCCACCCTCGTTTTCTCGATACAGGTAGGACAAAACGCTCATTCTATGTAACATCTATGAAAACTAGGCCTATATTATTATTGAGTGGCCTATAACATAATGTTGTTATATGGACGGAACAGTCCATTGACAGAATACCTACCGTATGTATTATTCATGTTTCTCTGTGACTCTATTCTGTGTCTGAGTAGGACTATGTTGGTTAACTATGTTTTTATATCTTTATAACATACATAATGCAAAGATTACATTCAGGAAACTACACACACACACACAGCTATGGCATTAAATATAAGCTAAATATAAGTTCTCTATCACTTAGCTTGTGTTTTTTGGTGAAAGTTACGCCCGTCTTTCTAAGTCTGTCTACATGATGATCTCCCTCGGCCTGTAAGCCTAGGCGGCTACCGGTATGATGTTCCCCAAGGAACTCCGAATGATGTCTGTATCCCGGCCTCTAAGCCGAGGCGGATAGTCGTACGGCTAGGAACGCCGGATGATGTCTCTCCTAGGGTCTCTACATGATGTCTTAACCCTAGTCTCTAAGCCGAGGAGGCTGTGGGTATGATGTTCCCCTAGGAAATCAAAAGTGATGTCTAAAGGGAAATATAACCTCGCTCTTCCTTATATAGAAAGTATAGATGTGTCCGCTATTAGGGCGGGAAATTACCATTTTTGGGTAAGTGTTTCGTATGGGCACCGTTTTACGTGAACATTATTCTATTTAATTTGACTAATCTGTGCACGAGATGACCGGACAATAGTAACCTACTTTCAGCAATTGATAGTGACAGGAAATGTCTGTAAGTTAGTCTAAGAAACATGAATCTTGAAAAATAGCTACTTAGCCGATTTTTAGTTGTCACCCATTTATTTAACCACTTCAATATGATAAACAGAGCACCTTTCATAGAACTATAATAACCCCTATAATATTGCATCTTTTCTAACGAATTTGCGGACAAGTTTAAGTTGTGTCTGAATCGCAAACTTATCTATCTCACATACTAACATGTACAATTCGATTCGTGAGAGCATGACGAACAAGGAACAGAACAAGCCCCATTGTCAATGTTGGGACAAGAGCTCAGTGACATTTTTCAACCAGGGACCCTATAGATCTGAAAGGCACACTTTCCGATTCTGTCCAACTTGGTCTTAGAATACAAATAACTTCAAATTTCTCATGTAAGTTCTCAAATTTGGCAAAATATTCTGTTCGCAGCCTTCCTATTCAGGTTATCTCATTTCGAATAGTGAGGACTTGTAGGCATATTGGATGAATATTATTCTGTAATTCTTCTGTGGTGTGAAATCACGTCATCCTATCTTTTGTTTGAAAGGAGAATCATTCAACAGTTTAGCCTTTTCATACAAACTCGGGACTATGACAGTATCAGAAATAGTAAAGGAGACATCTAAAGTCATTTATGGGAGCTTGAAAGACAGGGTTTGTTTCCTAGTCATCTCTTAATGATGCTATGGATAAAAATGTCTTGAATTTCCCTATCCCCAAAGAGCTTCCCAGAACATAGGACAAATGAGCATTTGACATAATTTGCGATGATGCCCCCCACCCCACCCACACCACCACTTACGAATTCATGTTATGAAACCTCCCCCCCCCCCCTCATGGATACAAACTAAGCACACAATTTAATATACCCGTACGTGGTGTAACTGCAGCTGTCCAGCAACAACTACATCTCTAATAATAATCTCCTAAAATGCAATAAGTACATCATCGCGCATTAAATAAATAATTACATCCCTTGGAATAAACATGACAGAAATGCAATAAAGATACCATTAAACAATTAAATATATATTAAAGATATCGTTAAGAACATAAAATCGAATATTCGACTTTTTGCGGATGGCACTAGCATCTATCTAAAACTTAATGACCCAACCGCATGCGCGACAGTCTTAAATAGTGATCTTGAAATGCTAAACAAATGGGCAAAAACGTGGCTGGTTTTCTTTAACCCGCTGAAAACTGAATCACTTGCACTGACTACTAAACGAGACCCATTGTTACCTACACTAAATTTGGACGGAATACCTATTAAAGACGTTTATCAACACAAGCATTTGGGATTGACTTTTCAGAAAAACTGCAAATGGGACAAACACGTTAACCTTATTTTGACTAAAACGATTAAAATAATTAATTGTCTTAGGTCTTTAAAACACCGCCTAAATAGAAATACTTTGAAAACTATATATACCTCTTTTATTCTTCCACATTTTGACTATTGTGACGTAATATGGGATGGGTGCACAGACGAGCTAAAACATAAATTAGAACACTTACAACTAGATGCACTCAGGACTATATGCGGGGCTGTGAAGGGTACCAGTCATGGGTTATTATATGAAGAAACAGGATTTATCACTCTGAAAGAGAGGTGAAGGCGTCACAAACTCATCCTAATGTACAAAATTATTAATGAGCTAACCCCTCCATACCTCCACAATTTAATTCAGTTTTCCCAAACTCCTTATAATATTCGTAATAGCAATAATTTAACTGATTACTTTTGTCGAACAACTTTATTCTCTAAATCCTTTATACCTTCTAC